ATGATGATTATCTGCTATTCATAGCCTCATTGATTGATATCTTTCCATACCTTACTAGACAAGTGAATAGGGCACATCACTGGTTGGGGATTTTGGTCTTGTCCGGACGACCGCCCTTTTTTCAGGGTGCTGGTACGACCCCCCACCCCTGGTTCCCTCCTCGTCGAACTGTCGAACGGGGTAAGGGGGGGGGGGGGTATATGGGTGTATAGTACATATGAAACAGGAAAAGCCACGAAAAGGCAACAATCTCTCTCAGAAGGCCAGAACGCAGATGAGACCCCCTCCATTCATAGTGTTCCTGAAACAAGAAAAATCAACTATCAAAAAAATTTTTCCACACCAAACGATCCTCCTCCAGCAACCAAATACGACCCCCCCCCTGTTGAAGGATCCTAGCAACTATGTGCCCTGCGTGAAATTGTCTTGAGGATTGTTGAGGCGTTCGAGCGGGCGGTAATATATCTGTTTTTCTCTCCAGAAAAGGCTAGAAAAGGCTTTGACGAGGGTAAAGACGCTGAAACATAGGCCTAATATGCTAACCCAATCTTGGAAAGAGTAGAAAAGAATCGTGCATATTGTGAAGGGTGAAAGAAATACTGCCACGGTCGTACTGTAAGGCAATTTTGTTGTGTATTGAAAGGCTTCCAATCATCGCTGCGCTATTCCAAACGTTGCATATTTTGCGATACTGCTCAGCATATTCTTTTTTTTTTTCATTTAGTAATGCAGCCATGCAGTCGCTCTAACCTTTCCTGTGTGTGAAACACCACATGTAGAAGAACATTTATTTGGAACCATCATTTCTTTGTGTAATCATAAATATAACACGGAATTTCTAGGTCACACATCAAACAAATGATCGCCGACACTTGAAATTAATGACTCTTGGTGGCTTTCTTGGCACCGTTTTTTGATGTCATACTGAAAAAGAAACTAAGCAATTATGGTGAGGATATTCGTTAATCGGCAAAGAGATTGCCCTCTGCTATCAATTCCGCTATTTATCGCCGCTTCAAAGACTTGGGTAATAACTTTCCGCGAAAATGTTGTCTGTTTCTGTCTATCTAGCGCCTCCCCCCTTGCGAATACGGCGACCGTAAGACTGCGTTCCCTTGCGGCAGCGTCCTCCAGCGTTTACCAGCGTTCACCAGCGGCTTGAGGGCTAGACTAGTATGAGTATCGATCTAACACCGTCTTTTCCAGGCCTTATGAAGATAAATGTGGAAGGGCAGGCTGTAGTTACTGCAGTGATTCTAAAATCTGTCAACTCAGGGGACAGTTTATCTGGTGGAATGTCAAGGATGCGGGCAAAAATATGTGGGAGAAACTGGGAGGCCCCTATACAAACGGATCGACGAACACCGGAGGGCGCTGGGAAATCCACCTTCTTACCCTAATAGCAGTTTCTCCCGGCATCGCATAATGGAGCACACTCACGCTAGCACCCCAAATAAACAATAGGGAGGAACTACGTGACATTATGCAAGTCATAATGTGATCGCGTCACATCCCACTATTTAAGGGTGTGGTTAGGGTGGGTTGGCTAATTTGCCAGGATATTTCGGTAAGTGCCTCGTATGGGAGGGAGTCCGTGCGGGTTACATCTCTGTAGGCTTATATTCTGCATAAAACAAGCTAAATAATTTCAGGCCTGAAGAAGGTGCTACGCACCGAAATATAGCCAGATAAGATATATTTTAAAAAACTTTTGAGACTTTTGCTGTCTTTTGAGTTTTTTGGAATAAACTTTTGGAGTTTCACATTGTTATTACACATTCAGATGAGTAATGAGACTCCGGGACAGCACCATACTCCGATGTCATTAGCTTATGTAGAGGAGAGTATGGCGCGATAGGAGGCTATCAGCTGTCTGCTACCATCCTCTCGCGCCATACTCTCCTGTCCCGGACGCTGATAGACACCGGTGCACGCTGGCGGGCGCTGGCAGACGCTAGATCGATATCTATACTTACCCAGTTGCTGACGCTGCCGGACGGTGGGAACGGTGGTCGCCGGTGGATGCTGCCGCGAAGTATGAACACAGCTTTAGCACTGAGTACAGCCAGATGAAGAGCCGTCCATTCTTTGACCTTTTTCACTTCTATTCCTACTGCTCCATTATTCCTAGACCTTCTTTGTCGCCCCAAGGACACTGATCAAATTTTAGATCACTGCGAAATCACGTCAAATGCATATCCTTTGCTGGATAAGACCAAAAATTCTATCTACGAGACCGAAATCAACTGCTGTCCAGAAGACAAATTCTTCACTCACCTTCATGGCCCTATTTACGGCCGAGAGGCCATAACCAAACTTGACTGCGCTATCTTGCTTCTGGTTGTTGTCTGCCGCTAAGTGGATGTTTCCTTATGGGACGCTGGTATCGACGCATTGTTGTCTGCCGCTAAGTGGGTGTTTCCTTGTAGGACGCTGGTGTCGACGCAGGTGCTACACCTTCAGAATAGCGCAGGCGGAGGACGGAGACGGCACCTGACCGCTGCCCTCCCCCGGTTCCCGTGCACTTTTGAGCGGAGAAACGGAGAAGGGGAAAACTCACCTGGGCCCGTATGCGGCGGGGTTTTGACGTCAGCGCGGCGGCAGGGCGGAGCGAAGGGGCCTGCGCCTCCGCCACTGTGCTCCGATAGCAGCCGTTTTCATGTGGAAGGAAAAACAGAGAATCGAATGTTGAACAAATGCATAGATGAGTTAATGGTAGTGGCGAGATAATACAGAAAACTAGACTATCACGTTATACCGTTATGAGGTCACATTCAACTGTTGGCAGTTCGCCAAACCGCACCCTAAACCTTTGCGTAACCGTATTCGCGTTGTTTTCGCCAGGGAACTTTTCGCCAGCTTCGCCATTTACAGAAGTAATTCGCCTTAATTGTCGGCTTTTCTATATTCTCTCACCAATACCATGTAAGCATCCACTATCTGTTCAATCATCTTTCTCTCTATTTTCCTCTTTTTCCTTCCACATAAAAGCGGCTGCTGATTGGAGCACAGTGGCGGAGGCGCAGGCCATCGCCTTTCGCTTCGCCCTGCCGCCGCGGTGACGTCAAAAATTCGCGCCGCAACGCGCATGGGTGAGTTTTTCCACGGAGCAGTGGAGAAAGTGACGTTACTGCAGATGGAGATTCACATACTACCTCGACGTGGAAGGACCGTCCTTGAAGGGACAAGGGTCTTCTCGTACTCTACTAGCTGTCTGCTATCCTCCTATCGCCCATACTCTCCACTCCTAGACGCTCCTGGTCGCCAGTGGACGCTAGGAGATGTTGCTGTCGCTAGAACAAGACCTATACTTCTCTGGCCCTCAAGACGCTGCTGGTCGCTGGTGGACGCTTTGTCGCAAAGTATGAGCGCAGCCTAGCGAAGATCTACGCGAAAGATTCGCGGCTCTTTCGAGTGTTACGATATGGCCATGTACAAGGCTGACACTGCCCATAGCACCGATTTGACATGATGGAGGTGTCTGGGTTGTCTGAAGAACGCTCTAAACAGCGCTGCCTAAAACCTGCATCGTGACTCAAACAGCTGTGTTTTGGACAGTCATCCAACTGAGAGCAGCGTCACAATGGGAAAAACTTCGTTACACAGTGGGACAAACGCTGGAGAACAAGAAGACTTACCAATGTGGTTTCAGAGAGGGGATTTTACTAAAGAGATACTTGCGAGTGCTCTCTTTCGCAGTGCAGGCCAAATAGAGGAGCCTTAAAAACTTCTTCAGTGAATTTGTAACATTCATAAACGAAAGGTAGTAATAAGAATAAGCAGGTGAAGGTACGCTCACACGTTATTCTCCAAATTATTACTGATTCCTCCATATCGCGCATTGCGGGTCACAGTCCACAACTGAAATCAGATGAAATCTTCCTGGATTTGCTTCAGATATGTGCACTTCTGTTAAAGGCAGTTGGCACAATAAAATGCTAAGATGAGTTAGGATTAATATGCTCGCCAAGACGGATTTCCGCGCCCCTGAGCAGGCTGTGTGCGCTTCCTCCTGGAAAGTTACCCTTATGAGACCTCACCAAGCTCAACGTACCGCCTACCGCGCGCGACCGCCCACAAATGGACGAGCGCACCTTATAGTATTCGAATTATTTGCGAAGTAAAATATGAAGCGCTGGGATTGATTCGAAGCGGCTGCGGTGCTGCATGGATAAGTGAATACACACATGCAAGCGTACCTACCGTAGCCGGTTACTGGCACGATTCCCAGGGGGAACTCATCCGAAACTGCTTTTTGACCCTTTAAGAACGAAGGCTTGTTTTCGCAGGTTTTGACCTTTTCACTTGGTTTTTTCACAATTTTTCTAACATATAGCACCCTGTTAGGGCGCTGTTTATCGACGGGGGGGGGGGCATTTTGTATTATAATTGCTTCCCTGGTTCCGGTTTACAAATCTCACTCTGGTAAAACTTGTGAAGTGAAGCTGGAGCAAGATCGTCTAGCCACCATCCTAAAACGTGTCAACTCGAAAAAAGGGTACCTAGATGGGTTGGCAAATCTATGAAAAGCAGAATGCCCCCTTGTCGATAAACAGCGGTCCCTGTTAGCATTTTGGACCGAGTGCCAAAATATCGTACCATATGCCTTTACTATCACACTTACCCTGTCGAGAACTTGGTGAGCTGTCTTAGCTTTGAATGCTTTCAGTTCCTCGTGCAACTTCCGCATTGCTAGCAGTTTTTTTTCCAGAGCGGGTTTTTCTTTCTTCAGTTTTTTGTCGTGAACAAGCCATTCAAATAGCTGAATATCCAAGAAATACGTATGCATAGTTATCAAAAGTGTTCCAAGCATGTAATCATACAGGAATCGTTGAGGAGGCACTGAGGGGAGGCGTCGCTGCACCACGAATCAGTGCCCCATCTGGGCTAAACTAGTCAGTTCCGTAGGGCACATTTGGCGAGCTACTATTTATGATGGTTGGTTGTGGCTCTAAACAGACCTGCTCGCTGCGGATGCTGGAACGTGCCAGGGGAGGGAGGTTGTGTTGCGAACGGGGCCAGACTTCATCTGTCAGCTGTGAAACTGGCACGCGACCACTGAGAGGGAACCCGCGCGGAGCCAAATCCGGCACCACCCCATCCGCTCCGGCACGCCACAGCAGTGAACAAGACTGCTCCCACTCTTGTCTTATCGCTCGAGAGCGAAATACTGCGAAAAGTTGGAAGTTGGTAGGGAGGTCGAAAGAGAACGGAGGGAATCGAGGAAGGTTGTAATTTGTGTCACTCCCCTGCAACGACGGTTCTACCTGGTCCTGATTCCGGCTGTGTAGGAAACAAAGTGTTACGAAAATCTCAAAAACTCGCGACTTTGGCTTGTTCCAAATTTTTTTGCTGCTGTATCTTTTAGCGAAAATCCCACTCAATGTGCAGTAGTTTGCCTTTCACGAGGGACGTGACTCCTTTCGTGGGAGCCTTAGCATTTCTAATAATCCTCTAATCCTTTGGTCCACTTCAGTGCCTTCCACAACGGAAAACGTACACGTGCAGTCGTTATCTTCCGCAAAAGTGGATAGGGTGGATTGACGCCGCGTGGATTGGAACTCCGCCAGAACAACCTTTCCCACTAATGATATCATCCCGAGCACGGCACACCTTCGTTATGATGATCACAATGTGGGGTTCGTATGTGACCCGAGGGAGGGGGGTCTTTTTTGGCCGTTGTTGGGGACTGCCAAAGATCTATACAACTACTATTTCCGAATATTGACGACTTCTCCCCTCTCCCGATAGCGAAATTTTGGGGGATTCGGGATTTTTTTAGAAAATTTCGGAAAAACTGGAGGGAGGGAGAATCTGAGAAACTCTCCTGCTGTTCCACAATGGGTACATTCCCCATCCCCACTCAAGGATGAAAAACTAGAAATTCTTTGAGAAAAATTGAAAAAGTGGTAAGAAGTTGGAGTTGGGAAAAAGGAAATATATAGGTAACATAGGAGGGGGGGTCGTATTCGAGGATGGAACAAGGGGGGCTCGTATTTTTCAGGAATGACCACAAGGCGATGGCGTGCACTGATCACGAGTCCGCCACAGTTGGCAGCAAAGTTTGCCATGGCTGCCCCCACAATCCACGCCCTCATCGCACCCCCTACCGCTTGCATAGATCATGACTACTCAGTAGAAAAATCAAATGAATAAATATTCAAACCCTATCGGTGTTATTGAAAGGGAAATCTTTTCGCTCATAAGCCCGTTCGAGGTATTTGAAATCATCCTTGGTCAAGTTGAACATTTCAGTTATGATATCACTCAACTCAACTGAAATGGATTTACTGAAAATTATATAAAAGTTGGGATTTAGTAGTACGTACTCATTATTTGTTTCGGCGTCATGGGGGCTGACAAAGCTGGTCCTTTTTTGTCCTTGGGGCTGGACGCATTCGACAACGCAAATGACGAGAGAAGCAAAAAGAGAACCACTCGCTCAAACATTGCACTGATACTGTGGTCCGTGACGGCTGAAAACAGGGCGCATTATTCCTATGGAGGACATTTTCCTGCGAACAACCTTCCGGCTCCACCTCCCACCTGTGACGCCGGATACGATATCACAGCATGAACCACAAGCCGTCACGCTCAGCCCCTCCCGCTACCGGATTGGAGGGAGAGGAATATATTCCCACAACGATCCCCACTAACGCATAACTCTCCCAGAGGTCGCTACATTACCCCTATCCCACACACTCAGTAGCAGATGATGTGCCCGAGCTAACGATGTCCATTGATATAGCGGTACCTGTCTATTAGGTAGCGTTCACACTTCGCGATGACGCGCGCCGACGCGCTGCAATTCGCTTTAGGACGCGTAGACGCGCGACGACACTCTGTAACGCGCTACGATTGCAGCAGTTCTCCAATTCGAGAGCTGTGAATGTAGCCGCAGACGAGCATCGATCGGCGCCACTTGTGTATTGAAAGAGTATGGGGGGACTACACGGTACGAGTTGCCTCATCGTGCAGTCTGGTATCGATCGGCATTGGCAGCTAAAACGGCGCCAGAGATGCCGATCGAATCTTAGAATTTTCATCCGAAGTGGCTCTTTCCGACAACTTCGCCGATTTGAGCCATTTTCGCCATTTTTCCCCTGGGTGTGTCGTTAGGTCCGCCCGCTGTCCCAGGCCAGACCCCGCCCCATCTGGTGCCAAGCCCCTCCCCATCTGGTACCGCCCCCGCGAGACTCCGCCCACCGCGGAGAGCCCGGAAAACTCGTCCAGTGTGCCGCCGAGTGTGTCAGTAGGCGCACGGGCCACTAGGTCCCGCGCCAGCCCCGCCCTTCCGCGGGAGACCTCGCCCGCTCCGGAATCCACCGCGGGAAACTCGTCCAGCCGCTCCAGTGAGTGCGTCCGAGTTTTGTGGCAGCGTTAGCGTCTTAGCATTGGAGCGCTCTTGCGATTGTAGCGCGTTAATGCGCTGAGGCGTCGCTCATCGCGAAGTATGAACGCTGCCTTATGATGCCTTCAGCGTAGGGAAACTACCGTGTCACCTTGGAGGAGCTCGTCGGCACAAAAAACAAAGGCTCAGCCAGTATGTGGTGGTGTCAAATCGTTCTGAGCTTTGACATCGGCTAACACAAAGGTTGAATTTAGGGAGAGTAGTTTGTCTTCTGGCGGATTCAAGGTTATGTTACAGTTCAACATATGCTCACTGGATCTGTGCCAAGCAGTTCATTTCATGAAGTTCATAATCAAGGAGTACGGCAGATACGTAAGTTATAGGACCCATACGCCTAGCAGGACAAAGTTGGTCGCGGGAGGCCCTACGTGGCGCATCTTCCTACCCTTATAGCTGCAACATATCGGCCCTGACGCCCACCGCGCCCTAGCCACGAATGTTGATATGAAGCGACTGCGGTGCTGCATGGATATACGAGTGCATACATGCAGCCGTATCTACCGTAGCGGTTATGGCACGATGCCTACGGGAAACTCGTCCGAAAATGCTTTCTGAGCCATGTGTAGCAACGACTTTTTGCGGGGTTTTTGGCACACTTCGCTTCTTCGCCATTTCCCCACTGTATAGCACCCCTGCTACCATTTAAGGCCCGGTACGAGAATTATCGTGTTTTAGGCCTTCAAGGTTTGGTTTTTCTCATATATGAACTCCCTAGCTTCTCCCTCAATCCCTCTACCACCATGTTTCTGTTACACTGCCCTCCCCCCCCTGCGGAATTTCCACATCCTGGACAACTGGCGAGAGAGCACAATTGAAGAATGAAATGGAAAATGATAAAAACTTCGGTGCATTAAAGAAAGGGATGGATCCCAGGATGACGTTTGTGGTGGCTTTTATGCTCGTTCGAAGCCATGCCCCTTCACGCTCTCCCAAAATCTAGCGATCTTTCGCCTTCAACACACAACAGAATATCTCAAGGATTGCTTCCCAGGCCCTAACAACCTTTCATTATTTAATTATCATAAAATGCAAATATTACGAAATTGCGTGTTGTCGCTAAAAATGTCTCTTAATGGAAGACACTTCAAATCGCACAAGCGTACTTTCGTTCGTTCGTATGCTTTTGAAATTGACAGAAACAGGGAGATAAATTCAGGGAGCCAGTCCGGCGATGGAGAGGGGGGGGGGGGGGGGGGCATTTTGCACGTTCGCTACTTCACATCAACGTGTCGCCCTATCTAGACAGCTTTTCTTGAGTTGACAGTTTACCGTGACTAGCTTGCTCCAGTTCTCAGAAGTCAAAAGGTTTTACCAGAGTGGGGCTTGTAAACCGGAAATGGTGAAGCAATGGAAGTGCAGATGGCCCCCTAGCCACCTCCCCTCCCCAAGTCGCCGAACTGCACCGCCCGCCCAAGTTTTTAGAAACCACATGTCAACTCTTGCCAAGAGTACCCTCCCAATCCCTATGAATCTCTTGTGAAATCTATGTCATGAGTTACTCCATAAGCTCACAAGGTTAGACAGGTTTCACCCGCGTAAAACCTGTCAACCGGAACTAGTGGAGCAGCAAAAGTGTAAAATGCCCCTCTTGTCGACGCACTGCACCCCATTCAGGGTAGGGCATAGGGAAGTCGCTATATCCACATCCTTCTTTTCCGTTTTGAGACAACCGTAGTCATTTTCTTGATCAGCACAAGGCAGGATGACAACTGTCACAAGTGGAAATTCATCACGAATTACGCATACTACGTGGAGTTAGGATCAAGCGGCGCGGCAACGCCTTCTCTATGTCCAGGATGGGGAGTGTGCAAGCTTCTATATGTTGTATCTACTGCCGATACCAGCTCATCGCGTTGCAATGTATGATCGCTCTGGATCTTGTGCATATATGTCTCTCTGTCTGTCTGTATGTCTGTCTGTCTGTCTATCTGTCTGTATATCTGTCCGTCCATCTACCTTTCCTTATGTCCGTGCGTTTGTTCATCTCTGTTTTTTCATTCAGTTCACTCCCTATCTGCCTCTCGTATTTTGGGCTGTGAAATTGGTACATCCTATCCAAAGAAGGCCTGGGATCACCAGATCAACGAGAGTTCTCCCTCCAACTACAGTTATACCCATTTCCTGATCCCCTTCCCTTACACGAACCATTAAAATTTCGATTTGTGTGGGGTGAGGGACGAAGCCTTCCGCCAAAACTGTTGCCCCTGTTGTCTAGTCTCAACCGGCTGACTTAAAATTTCCTCGCTGCTTTTTTTTGTTTTTTTTTTCGCGCGGAAACACCTCCGTTCCTCAACGCTTACTGTTTACTACACA